AAGAAGAAGAAGAAGAAGAAGAAGAAGAAGAAGAAGAAGAACAAGAACAAGAAGAACAAGAAGAACAAAAAGAAAAACAAGGACAACAAAAACAACAACAACAGAAACAACAGCAACAACAATAACAACAACAACAATAATGACAGTGAAGCATGGAACCGACAACAAATAATGACAACCATAAAACAGATCGTTCACAAAGAGACTCCACGAGATGAAACGACGTTATCCAGTTTTGTCCATCACGGTTTTATTATGAAGTAATGGTTCTTACCACAATCGTCCCAAAGCAAACGAAACGACAGACATCCACAGCAAAAAAAAAAAAAATGTATCACGAAACTATTATGCCCTCGTGTAAAAATTTGGCAAGGTAGTGTTTTACAAAAGCTAGGCCTATCTGCGATTTCTTCTCGAAGAATCAAAGCAGTGGCTGAAAAAAAGAACCAACAAAACATTTCTCTCTCTCTCTCTCTCTCTATCACACACACACACACACACACACACACACACACTCTCTCTCTCTCTCTCTCTCTCTCTTGGTCCTCCCCCTCTCCCTCTTCTCCTCATCCCCCTGCTCCTCTTCCTCCTCCCATCTCTCTAATTTTATCTATCTATGCCTACGTGTGCTTTCTCTTCTTCTTCTTTGTCCCGATTTTAGCTGTTCCTCAACATTCTCATTTTTCTTTTTGTGTCATCACGTCGATTCCCATTCTCTGACTTGTTTCTTGGTCTACCTCACCATTATACACGGACAACCTAATAGATACAGGCATACAGTTGATCTCGGTATCAAATTATCTTATCCTCTAGGCGTTTTCATTGTAACGCCAACTCAACACTTTCAATTTTTCTATCTTCCTCACTCAATCCATCCTAACTAGATCTCTGCCAACCATCAGTCTAGCCAACTGTTTATTGCTGTTTTGGTCTCGACGTCTTTGAACAACGTTCATCCAAACTAGTACAAACATTATGCAAAATAACAATACATGTCTACATACTCAAGCCAAGTCGATCGACTTTTCTATTTTAACATAAACAGATCTGAGTGCAATTATAATCTATAAATACATACAATAGCTCTTCATTAAGTGAAGGAGTCATCACAGTACCGACGTCACAGTAAAATTGTTTGATTTGCTAGAGGTATCGGGAATCACATTGTCTGAGTGCTGGGAGAAGCGGGAGAGAGGTCAGACACAAACAAAGGGTCCAGGCGGGAACAGAACTGACCAGAAGAAGTGACCAGGACTGATGCTATTGTCCGATAACACATTGGAGCAAAGTCAGAATAATTAAAAGAAAGATACACTAATGGGAAAAGGTGTGCTCTGTGAGTATTTCTACCTTATAGGCAAAACAGGTTGTTAGCTTTAGATCAAGGGTTTGAACTGGGATATTTAGGAACTTAAGTAGAAACATCATCCTCCAACAGGTAAATCATTACCACATAATTTTACCGTTTACATGAAGGCGTTTTGTGGAATTGTGTACTATATCCTGTAAACAAGGAGAAAAATGTATTCTTGTGTTGCACCGTGGCATATTTTTTCACTCGCACTTTGTGATGTTTGATTTTGTCATTATTCGAGCGGATTTTCGATTGAGTGGCTGAAGTAACTGGAATAAAAACAATCACTCTGATCTAGTGAACGTTTGCTGAAAATTCTGTCTGAAGGCCTCTTTGAATACAAGATCAGCGACCCCAAGCGAGAGAATCCAACATTAAGCTCCCACCTTTTTTGAACTTGTAAGGATTATGTACACGTTATTTTCTTTGACTGTTGGTGTAAAGTATTTCCAATGAGACGCCCTCCCCAGGTAATGATATTTATCCAACCTAATTCGTTGTGTTGAAATTATGTTGGATAAAGACTAAAGTTTGGACACACTAGGAAGAGAAGTGTTCTACAACTACAACATACAGTGGTAAAATTACTGGTCCGTCAGATTTGACAATAAGGTCACTCGGCCAACTAACTACGTGTGATCATTGAGCTTTGTGTGTTCTTCTCAAATGTTAAGCTCTTCGCCACTGCATACAGCTGGCGTAAGTTCGATTCCCGAATGCAGAAGTTTTTGCTTCGTTCGTCTGCTGGGAGACTGTCAAATCCCAAATCCACACCGGCTGGCTCGCCTTCCAAATGATCTAAATTGTGTCAAAAGGGGAGTAAAGCAAGAACAATAAAATAGAACAAAATATACAACAAAAACGAGTAAATATACACTTAACCATTCTAAGCAACGCGTTATAGTGTCCTTTGTGCTCCTAGTGTTGCTCTTCTTCCTGAAACATTGAAAAACGTGAGTGTGTAGACAGGAAAAAATGTAGTGATGTGCTACCATTTCAAAATGATAGAGGAATTGGTAAGATATTATTACATCAGTCATCGGTTGAATGAACAAGAATAAAAAGACATGACCACAACCTAAGTAACGAGAACCTCAGGGTTCATTGTTGGTAACAAGGTTATTAGACATTATACACAGTAACTCCTTCCGTCATAAATTTACACACTCTCTATGTCAGAAATGTACACTATACAGACTTACACAAAGATGACGCGCACAGATAGATATTCTAAAACCTTTTGTACCACGATGTGCTGGTGGTAAGTACGTACGATTGAAAATGAATTACTATTATCACACGCTCTCATGAAACCAATCAGTCTTCCAGACAATGTACATAACTCTTTTACTTTGCTTCTGTAAATCATGAGACCACATTATTCCTACCGTCGTTGCGGTGTCACACAGTGATAGAGGCAGACGCAAACTCATGTATATCTGGTGTACATTCAACCGGTTATTCTAAAGGCTTACCTACTTGTTATAAAACATGTCAGTGACCAAAAAATTTTTAAACAAAATTCCATGGGGGGT